CCCCTCCGGGGCGCGGGCGAGGGGGGATGGGGGGGGGGGGGGTGGGTGTCCACCGCGCCGGGACCGGGAAGCTCCGAGTGCTTCCCCCCATGCCACCTCCTAGAACTGCGTTCAACATCCCCTCCTCCCTGGGGTCCCCTGCCAGGTCACTGTCCCCACGTGGGGAGGGGAGCTGTGGAGCGGCTTGGTGGTTCGTGGTGGGGAAATTGGGATCGGGTGCTCTTGCGTTGAGACAGGTATTTCATGTCTGGCTTGTGTCGGCTGTCGGTGAAGGGGAGGGGGAGCCGCCTTTGTTCCAGGAGAGGGAGCAGATGCATGTCAGCGTACGGCCAGCTGGGGCTGCACACACGCAGCAAAAACACATGTGCACACGAGCACACGCGCGCACTCCCGGCCGGGTGCACGCTTGTGCGAAGCAGCCCTTCTTCTCAGCTGTCCCGCTCCCCCACTGGACGAGTCCTCCGGGGCACAGCCCTGCTCCCAGCCCATCCTCTGCCGGCAGCCCCCGGCAGCTTGCGCGGAGGTGCATCTCTTCCTTGGTGCATCTCTGGGGAGTAATGGACGGGTCTCCCAGGCTGGCACTGGGGAAGTGTGGCGATGGTAGGGTGAAGTTACAGCTGCTGTCTGCAGACCAGGTCTCCATTGTTTCTACTGCGGCAAGGAAGTGGCTGCCCCTCTGCTGCCAGGGCTCCTTGAAATCCCTGGAAATCAAACTGTCAGACAGTTGGGCAGGGGGAGGTGGCCCCAGTGCATGCCGTGGGCTTGCAGGAAGCGTCTTGCAGACATGGGGCTGTTCACAGCCCAGGCATGCCCATGCATGTGGGTGTGCACGCCTCCACTTTGCCGTGCAGGCAGACAGCACCCACGTGTGCATATGTGCACACATATGTGCACCGTTCCTCCTCCTCCGCAAACCATGGGAGAGCTGGGAGGCTGTGCAGGAAGGGCACCGCTCACTCCTTCTCGTGGTTCTAGGGTGGGACTCTGTGGTTTATGATGGGATGTGTGCTGAGTCTCCTCGGCAGGCAGAGAAGGGGGGAATCTGTGTCCCTGTGGGAGCTGGCCTGTTGGGGCAGGGCTGGAGCCATGAGGAGTGGCCCTTTATTACAGGTAAAACGCAGGGAGCAGGTCCTCACTGAAGAGGACGATGAGTTGAAAGAGGTGGGCTGCACCTGGGCAGAGCCCGAGCAGCCAGGGCCGAGGGCTCCTCAGGCTCCAGAGGATGAGTGCCCACAGCTCAGGGAACTGGGCGCGAGGCAATGCTGAACCAGGCATGATGCAGAACTGTGCCAGGGCTGGGAGACACAGCCGGGCACAGCTGACATCAGCCCTGGAGACTCACTGAAATGGCACAGTCCCAGCCCTCCTGCCTCCAGGCTGCCGGTTTTGGGACGTGCTCAGAGCCTGGGTGGGTGGGCCTGGTCTGGGAGGGGTGCTGCACCCCCCCAGTCCCTCACCCCACTGAGACTCCCTTGGGTCTCCTCTGCAGGTGGGCTCTTTGTGACCGACTACTTCACCCGCACACCACGCAAGCTGAGCCCCTTCCGCTCCTTTGCCAGCATCGAGCTCTTCCACTTCCACATCCCCGAGGACACAGTCATCGCCGTCTGGAACCTCATCACCTTCAAGGAGCAGGGTGGCACCTTCGGGGACCAATGCCCAGACCGTAGCATCACTGTGTGAGTAAGCAGCCTGCCTTGTCTGTGCCCTGCCTGCCTGCCCCTGCCTGCCCCTGCTGCCCCCTGCTTGGACTTGCCCTGGAGCCTGCCCGCTCTTGTCTGCTGCTCGCTTGCACGTGCACGTGTGCATATATGCATGCGCGTGCACGCACACGGAGGAGCAGTCATGCACGCACGTGCATGTGCAGGCACGCACGTGCATGTGCAGGTGCACACGTGTGCACAGACGCATGCACACATGCATATATGCACATACGTGCACACACATACACATGCACGCTTACTCCCCATGATTCGTCTTCCCAGGGCCGTTGCAGGCTCCACTCCTTTGCGCATCTCATACATGAACGCTTTTGCTTGAACACCCACCCAGGGAAGCTCACAGTCTCCAGCAAGGTCCCAGCTTACAGACGGCTTCCCCATCATGTCTTGGAGCTTCCTAATAGCTTGGAGGACAGACCCTCACGTGTAGGGCAGGCTGGCCGGCCCTGCCACGATGCCCAGCCTGCACCCTGCGAACCGCTGTCTCTCCTGCAGGTATTTCCGCTCAGGGGCTCCCTCCGTCATTAACCCGCTGCACACGCACTTCCCCAGGGACACAGCTGTCCCTGGCTCCTTCGCATTGACCCTCACCTGGACCCTGCCAAACCGCACCACGGGGGTGTTCAATGTCACCAGCCCGCTGCCCGGGGACTGGTTCCTCGCTGCCCACCTGCCCAAAGATGAGGGCAAGATCTCCGTCAAGGTGAAGGGCCTGGGGGGAACCGTGGGGCGGCAGGGCTCACTGCAGGGCTCTGCTTGGGCCTGACTGTCCGGGGCTGGCAGCGCCCGGGGCAGATGTCCCAAGTGGGGACAGTGCCCCATGCCTCCTGCCCCATGCTGACTGTCCTGCTGGTGCAGGGGCTCTACGAGGAGTGCCAGTATCTCTTCCAGCCACAGCTCATCGTGCAGCGCCTGGTGAACATCGCCGTGCTGTACCCCGGTTATGTCACCGAGCAGAGCATGGCCCCCCACAACCGCTCCTGCCTCTACAAGTGAGTGCGAGAGGGTGTCCTAAGGAGAGGACGTCCCCAGGGTGGGGAGCTTAGGGTGCCCCATCCCGCTGGCTTGCCTCCCCAGTCCTGTTGGTCCACGGTGAGGGGCGGGACCTGACACTGCTGTCCCGCAGGGTGTTTGTGCCCAGCTACACGTCGCGAGTGCTGGTGGAGGTGCTGCGGTGCCGCGGGACCGAGGGCTGCCCGCTCTGGCTGCGCATGCGGGCCAAGGCTCCCCCCTTGCACAACTCCACGGCGCTGGACTGCCGGGAGCACGCTCCCTGCCAGCTGGCGCTGGACCTGCCCTTCTGGCAGCACTGGTACTACGTGCTGGTGGAGAAACACCCCGGGGTGCCGGGCACTGTCTCCTTCCAGGTCACTGTGCAGCTCACAGGTGAGAGTGCATGGGGAGGTCCGGGTGGGGGGCATGGTCTTGACTCTGCTTGGGTGACTGGTGGGGGAGTAAAGGACGCCCGCAGGATCTGGCCCCAGCTGGGCGCAGGGTTATTATACCCAGCTCTGCTGGGATGGGGACACCGGGAGGTGTTGGGGCTGCGTTGCAGATGGAGGTGAGCAGTGGGCAAGAAGGGGAGGTGGGAACCGAGAGGGGGGCTGGAGGAGCTGTGCGGTGCCCAGGCTGATGGCTCTGCCCCCCAGACTGCTCCCGACCCAGCCTGGCCCGGCCACCCTTCCTGCCCTCCGTCCCCATCCCCACCGCCTCGCCTGCCGGCGAGCGGTGCTGGCCAGTCCGCCCCACGCTGCGCAATGAGCTGGACACCTTTTCCGTCCACTTCTACATCTTCTTTGGGCCCAACGTATCGGTGCCGCCCGACCGCCCCGCTGTCTTCGTCATCAACCTCCTACCGGTGCTGGACAGTGGTGGGGTGCTCAACCTGGAGCTGCGGCTCAACGTGGTGAGGTGGCCACGCTCTGCCCTGGGTGGGGCAGGGCAGCCTGGGGGTGGATGGGCTGGGAGATGGATGATGTTGGGGCTGCAGCAGGGTGAGGGACAGGATTTGGGGTGCTCTTGGGTCACGGGTCATGGTTTGGGAGCTCTTGGGTGATGGAACACAGATTAGGGTGCTTTAAGGGCAGGATGATGGCCTGGATTTGGGGTGTTCTTGGTTGATGGGCAGTGGGTTAGGGCACTGCTGGGTGGTGTGCGGTGATCTGGGTGCTGTCAGAGCAGGGGACATCCCCAGCACTGGTTTAGGGCCATCTCCTCCTCTGCCGTCAGAGCTCCCTGTGTGGCGAGAACGTGACAGTGTTCGGGTGTCTGAACCACGAAGTCCCGCTGACGTCCGGTGACAACGCGTCAGTCACCTGCGAGACGGGTAGGCTGGGCTGTGCGTGTGTATCCTGCCATGGCCGTGGGGGTCACACACCCCATGTGTCCGGCAAGAAGCTGGGTGGGAGACGGCAGAGACCGTGGGGGCATCTGGCCTCGGAGCCTGGCACAGGGTGCTCTGTCCCTGTCACGGCTCTGCTCAGGGGAAGGGGCTGCCCCCTGCCCTGCTCACCCAGAGCTCTCCCTGTCTGCAGAGACCCTGGCAGGCTTCCTGCTCTCCGTCAACGCCACAGCCAGCCTCAGCCGCCTGCGGATCCCCTACCCCCCGACGGGCAGCTGGTACCTGAGCCTGCGCTCGCTCTGTGCCACGGAGCACGGGTAAGAGCCCCCGGCATGTCCCCTCCCTGCGCGCCCAGAGGGGATGTCCCCACCATGGCCTGCATCCGTGCGCGCTGTGGGTCTGTGGGTGTGCCTGGCCCCTGCGCTGCGTGTCACCGCTCACGTGTGTGCACGTGGCGTCGCGGGCTGTGTGTCACCGTGTGAGTGCCTGCGTGGGCACGGATGGCTCTATCTTGTGCCTGCCTGGCCATCTGTGGGTCCCTGCGGCTCTTCCCTCTGTCTCTTGGTTAGGAAGTGCCTGTCAGCTTGCGAACGCCGTGCATCTGTTGGTGCCTGCCCATCTCCGCGGCAGTGCCCAACTGTGGCTGTGCCCAGGAGGGGACTGGGCTGTCACTGAGAGGACAGGGCTTGGCTGCGCATATGAGGGGGCAGCTCTGGTCAGGCTGCTGTGCCCCTGCTCTGCTCAGCGTCTCCAGGGACCGGTCCTGTGTCTGCGGCTCTGCGCCTGGCTCATATGTCTGTCTGAGAGCCCTGCGGAGGAGAGGGGCTGTTGTGTGCCTGTGTCTGTACATGCGAGAGTCCATGTGGGGCTCTGTGCTGTGCAGATGGTGCTGTGTGCATGTTCAGTGCGTGCATGCAGACAGCACTGGGTGTTCGGTGCATGCATGTAGATGGTGCTGCATGCACATTTGGTGCATGCGTGTAGACAGCACTGCATGCATGTAGACAGCACTGCATGAATGTTTGAGTGCACACATGCAGACAGCTCTGTGTGTGTGTGTGTGTGTTCAGGTTTGTGCAGACAGGGCTGTGTGTGTTCTGCGTGCGTGTGTGTGCAGATTTGACTGTGTGATCACACGCAGGGACAGCAGACCCATGTGCAGACACCCCCTGTGCGTGTGTGCAGACAGCGCTGTGTGCACGTTTGTGCACGCTGGGGTGCCTGCGTGTGCACAGGCAGCAGTTGGTGCGTGCTGTCGGGACGTGGGCCTGTCTGTGCTCCTGCGTGCTGGAGCTGCCGAGGTGCTGGGTGTGCCCAGAGCCCTGTGCGTGGGCGACGTGGGGCAGTGAGAGTGCTGTGTCTGCTTTGACTCCTCTGCTGCATTTCTAGTTCACGCTGAGTTGCCAGTTGCAGTCGGTCCTTCCCCGACACGGTCGCACACAGGCATTGCAGGGCACGGTGTTTGCATAGCAAAATCCAAACGAAATAGGAGCCAGCTGAGTGCGTTGCTAAAGGCAAAGTTGGTCTAAGCGAGGCCACGTTCCTCCTGCTCACCCAGCCTGGCACAGACAATTCCAGCACACAAGATCCTTGGGCACCAGCTCTCAGCTGCCATACGTAGCACCAAAGCAGCTCATTTCTGCCCTCACCCAGACCCTGGGTCTCCCATCACCTGCCAAGTCTGGGTGTGACGGGTGCCTCTGGTGGAGGCGGGAGCTGCCTGAGGGGCGCAGGGCGAGGGCTGACCCCCTTCTCCTGTGCCGCAGGTTTGAGCCTTGCACTAACGTGACGGCTGAGGTGTACCTGCGCGCCTACCTCTCGCCCTGCATCAACGACTGCGGCATCTATGGCCAGTGCAAGCTGCTGCGCACCAACAACTACCTGTATGCCGCCTGCGAGTGCAAAGCTGGTGAGAGCTGCCCCAGGCACCCATGGTGCCCGCTGCACCCAGGGACACCCCCCGGCATCCTCCCCTCCTCCCCGGGGGTTGTGCACCCCGTTAGTTCCCCCGCGCCAGCTCTCCGCGGGGCGCTGGAAAGGGGCTTCCCCGCTCCCTCCCCAGCCCCTGTGAGTGCTGCAGGGGTGACGGTGGCTCTCCCCGGCCACAGGCTGGAACGGCTGGGGCTGCACAGACAATGCCGAGGCTTTCTCCTATGGCTTCCAGCTCCTCTCCACGCTGCTGCTGTGCCTCAGCAATGTCATGTTTGTGCCTCCCGTGGCCATCGCCGTCCGCAGCCACTACCTCCTGGAAGCTGCTGTCTACATCTTCACCATGTTCTTCTCCACTGTGAGTGTGGGGTGGGGGCAGCTGGGGGGGCAGGCGAGGGGCCAGGGCTGTGTGGGGCAGCTCTCACACCCTTTCCCCCCACCCCAGTTTTACCACGCCTGCGACCAGCCAGGCATCGTGGTGTTCTGCATCATGGAGTACGACGTGCTGCAGTTCTGCGACTTCCTGGGCTCCCTCATGTCTGTCTGGGTCACCGTCATTGCCATGGCCCGGCTCCAGCCCGTGGTCCAGCAGGCCAGTGCGGGGCTGGGCCGC